CATAATAATAATAATAATAATAATAATAATAATAATAATAATAATAATTTGCACTTATATAGCGGTTTATCCCATCCAAGTATAAACTAGGGGCGCTCAAAAGTTGATATGTTCACATCATTTCAACCAATTCATTTAATAACCCTCTTTCTCTTTGACATCTTACAGACACAAACGTCGACTGGTTACCCCGCACGCCCTGGCCTCTCCTGACCCCTACGCCATAACCCTGAAGTGTGAGACGACCTCAGTGTGACTCACCATCACGTGCCACTCACCCCCGTCTCCGTCCTCCAAGCCCTCGGACAGAGCGGCTCGCACTCTCCTCCAGACCTGCACTTGACACGACAACTCTGAAGCTGTCGTCATTTCCGGCAAGATCTCGCGCTCCCACATCTATTTTTAATCTTCCAGCGGAAACTTTCATGTGGACGTCATCATTTGATTCTTTTAAAGACAAGAAATTCGTCTAGCTTGGTATTGCTGTCTACACAAACGGTCATCAAACAGTCTTTCGTGAGACCTGTCTATCGTGAAACCTGACACCCAGTGTCGTTATTATTACTTGCACAGTCTTATCAAAAGAAAGAGCCAAGTGGTATATTATTACAGTCCCGAAACACAATAAAATATCAATAAAGCTGCCAACGTTAATATTAATCTAGAAGACAGTCTATTGGAGGAAAAGAAAGATAACAGCAGCCTTCGTACCAAAGGAAATCTAGAAAGTCTCCCGTTCCCAGCTTAGCTAGCCGCCAAGGTCGATATTTTTCTCTCTCAAGTGGAGCTGTCTAACACAGAGATCTGATATTCCGCGCCCCTCTCGAGCCAATTACCTCCCGTGGCCGTTCACGCTACGTCAGTCAGGCTTCTCCAAGCAGCGCAGACGTATTGACGTCACGACCGTTATAATTATCGTCTGCAGCAATGATCACGCACAGCAGACCAGAAGCCGCTGTGTACGGCGTTAGTGACGAGAGCATCGTCCGACCGGGGAGAGGTCTGTCTCTCTCAAGGACAACTCTGCTACATCTGGACCAAGACGAGTTATCCTCCCTCAGGGGAGATAATCAGTACGATGAGATCGACCTCGTCTCGGAGTGCTCTACCCCTTGCGCCTACAGTCCCGGTCGTTTCCTGCAGCTCTGTGACGTCAGAGATGACGCAGACCTGAAGGATGACGTCACCATCTGGCCGGTGTCCTTGGGCCCGTCTCTGGGTGATGGCCACACAACCAGGCTGTTGGCTGACCAGTGCAAGATCTCTGTCTCAGAGACGTTCCTACACTCCAAGGTGGGTACATGGATGTTGAGACATCGTAGTTATAGTAGAAGTTATGATGATGATGATGATGATGATGATGATGATGATGATGATGATGATGATGATGATGATGATGATGATGACTTGAAATATAAAGCTGTACGAAATAAGAATTTCATGAAAGCTTAACTATGAAAGTTACTAGCTTGGGTTGGTTTGCCATTATCAGTTGACACATAAGCTTGAATTCTTCTTCTTCTTTTTCTTCTTCTTCTTCTTCTTCTTCTTCTTCTTCTTCTTCTTCTTCTTCTTCTTCTTCTTCTTCTTCTTCTTCTTCTT